TGTATATAATTTGGAAAGTAAATCAGAACATTAACTTCGCTACATAATTATGGATAATTTTTAAGCTGCTGTTCAGTTTTCATTCTTCATCAGAAGAGAATGAAGTCAATATTGAGTAGGTTTTTGGTTCTGCTCTGGTTCTGTGTTTAGGCCAATGAAGTGCTTAATGCAGCTATTGGGCAGGGAAACAGCTTGAGAGCTGTCGGTGCCTCAGGCTGCCAGCTGCTTGGCTAATTGGCCCGAGAACAGAGCGGGAACCAAGCTGAGACACCAGGTCAGATGCCTTCAGTATTGCTTCCTACCTGAAGAAACTTGCTTACTGATTTAAAGTGGTGTCCAGTGTCAGAGAACACCAGCAATGTTTGCTCTGGGGGCGGTGCCAGCATCACTGGCACTGACGTGTGGAAGTAAGTTTAATCTATATCCTTTTATTCCATTGGCAGATGCTCCATCCTGGAGACTTTCAAGATGAGGCTGAATAAGGCCCTGGGCAACCTGATCTAGTTGTGCTGTGCCTGTTCATTGCTGGCGAGTTGGACTAGATGGTCTTCAGAGGTCCCTTCCAACTCTAAGGATTCTATGATTCTATGAAGGTTGCTGAGCTAAAATTTATTTCAAGACTGAGCCTTTCCTCTTCTGACTGGGGGCTTTCCACTAGGATGTGTGGCAGGCATGTGAGAGATGCTGAGAGCTTAAATAATATCTATGGATACATGCAAAATGAATGTAGACATAGGGGACAAAGAACATCATCTGTGGAAGTAGGGTGTATGCTCTGAATTATTCCTCCAGATACTTAATTAACTTCAGTTTGACAGTTATCAAGGCTCAAAATTTGTTCTTCATCAAATGCAGTAAGGGCTAAGATATAGGGAGAGAAATGAGTTTCTGGTTTTTGCAGATTTTCTTTTTGAGAAGTCCCAGGAGGTTCTGGTACTTTAATGAGAAATGACTAGTTTAAAATGTTTAGTTTTGCTAACCTTTAGTTTGCTAGGATCTGTGCTGCTCTATTTTATTCGTGAAGATTTTATTTTGTATGCAGTTAACACTTGGATTTGCAGTAAATGCTAATAGGCTGCTTTTAAGACATTAATCTGTTTGAATGTGCAAGGAATTTAGGCAAATAACAGCTTCTGATACAGTAATTTGTTTCTGTAGTTATTTAAAACTGTTTAGTTGTGATTTTCAGATAACTTTATTAGAATACAGAGACCTATTGCATTTTCACAGGTGGTTTTCTTAGCTGAGACCCTAAAAGAACAGGTCTAAGCAATAAAACTTTGTCCATCCATTTCTCTCTGTATTATTGTTGTACTAATAACTTTGAAAGCTGTTGGCAAACTGTATTGACTTGAAAGGGCAGAAATCTTGAAGATAAATCACTTTAGATTTTACCATAATTGGTGGTGGTGTACAGATTGAATGCTGCATCAGTGCTTCTTGATGAAGAAGGTGTAGCTTAAACTATATGTTATTTTCTGGTAGCATCGGATTGGCAAACCAGCTTAAAGTTAGCTGTGGTATTTCGTGCTTTCTATTACAAGATGATATCTAAAGATACACAAGTCATGAGAAGATGCTGTCAGTTACAGAAATGGGATAAGAAAGAATTTTGAAGGAGGTGTAAACTAATGGATGAGAAGACAAGCTTGTTCTGTTGTTTACATGGAAGCTGTTGCCACCAACTGAAGACTTTCTGTAAATAATTCACTGTCTGGTGAACTACCAGTGTAGCGGCCCTTTATTACACTGATCATGTGTACTGCTGCCTGTGTGCAAACTGTCTATGAAATGGATGAAAGCTTGCATATAGGACAACTGCAGATGATGGAACAGTGCTTTTCAACATGCTACGGAAATGACATTATTTCAGTGACCCTAAAGAGGCAGTAATAAAATAGCTCGTCAAGATAAAACAGATGTTTTGTGCCTTGAAATTATCATGCATTATATTACTATGAAAATCTCTGTCTTGTGTTCAAAGTATCACTTGCTGAAATGTCATTTATCTTTTTTAATAAATGTAGAAAACTCATGTAAAACTTAGGGATGACAGTCTTAACCCAGTTTAGGCATTTCACTCTTCATAACTTTGCCTCGCTGTTTTTCTTATAAAGTCAGTTTTAAATAGAATACAGTGAAAGTAATGAGACTAGAGTACATCGTTTTGTCCACTGGTTTTCTGATAGAAAATAAATGACCTAACCTGATTATTTTTTTTTTAATTGATTTCAGTGAAACCAATCTAACCCTATGTAGACAAGCTCTCAAAATCAAAGTTGAATTTGCATCGTTGTAATATAAGGAGGTTTCTGGTAAATAAAATATATTTAATAAATACCTAGCATCTTCTTCCTCCCTATCTTTCACATGTAACAAGTTGTTAAAGCATACATCGTTTTCTACCATACTTCTAAAACACTTAAGCAGTGTTCATTTTTCAAACATTACAGTGTGATAGAAGAGCAAATAAGGAGTTGATGGGCATTTGGTTAACTGCTTTAATTTCTCTAACTCCTGATTAATATAGTTATCTCAGACTGTTCTGAGCTGCATGTTACCATTTCTAGATCTCTTCCCACACCCGTTTACTGATGTAGATGAAATTTGTGCCATTTTAACAAGTAAACCATGTTTTTAGAATGTAGCAAAAAAAGCTTCCTGACTTCATAGGAAAAACTGCCATCACTTTTCATGACTGGAAAAAAACCCACCTGTTTTTACAAAATTTGCAGCTTTCTTCCTTCCATTATTAATAATAGACTACATTGAGATGGACGCTTGGGATGGACTGTCAGACAGATGCTTTCTGGGGTCTCATCTGCTTCTCACTGCCTCTAGCTTCCCTTGCCCCCTTGGCAGTTTATATCCTGCGTTTCATCTCTGCCTTTGGTTTTATCAAACAGACAATTTCTGTTCTTCACCATAAAAATTAGTTTTCTTACTAGCTGGAAGTTTAAAACCTACCTTTTTCTCTGATAATACAACTGTGTATTTAGTATTTGTGGAAGTTCTTCTATAGGTTCTTGCTTTCCCCTCTCACAATACAAAGCTTAAGATGATTGCATTCAGTAACCTTTTTGCTAATTGTGTGCTATTGTGTATACCATAACATTGTGTCTAATGATGACTTTTCTGTTTTTATATATAGCCTTTACAGTTCACTTGTGACACTAATTCTTGAGTTGCGATTTCAAATATTTCAACAGAGGAATACTTATCATCATGTCAATTTCTTGCATCTTTTGGCTTTCTATGTATAAAATGTATTGCATATGAGACTGCAAGTTCTCCTCAGCATCCTGGAGCCTTATTGGCACTGCAGTTCTGTGCAGTTATCTAGCTGAGATTTTCTGGGGTAGAAAACAGAAAGAAATGTTTCATTTCCGTCTTTCTAGGTGGCAGATACATCCACACAGCCCTTGGGTGTCCATGCAGCTCAGTATGCCTCCCTACCAAACCTCTAGCAGTTACTGATATGGAGAGGAGCTGCTGCTTGCTTCTTGTGGTAGCCATCTCCAGTGATCAAAGCTTGGTCTGTCTCATCTTTCCAAAACTGGAGGTTTGCCAACAGTGATGTTAGAGGTAACAAATGAGAAAGGAAGGAGTAAAAACTGTGACTAGTGTAGTGGGGAGCAACAGATGTCGCGTAGAAAATTGAGAGATGCTCAATAAGCATTTTCTACAAACATTTTCATACCGATGTGACTTAGTTATGGGGTGTGAGAGACGAGCATATGAAGAGGTTTAAGCTTTGAAGCGTTTCAGACAGATGGAAGTTTGTGGTTGAAGACAACTTATGTGGAATTATAGGGTAGTGGTGTTCACAGCTTAAAGATTCTGTTTTAAAGTGATTTCACATTGTAATTAAAGAGTCATGGTGAAAGAAAACATAAGGATCTGAGTTATGGAAAGCAAAGGAAGTAAAGGCTGGTAGCTGCTGCAAAGTGTGTTGTCCAGAAGAGCTGCACCATGGATAATAATATAATACAGGGGATTACATGTTACTTTTGTGATACAGACCTCAGACTGCACTGCTGGCCTACACAGATTTTCTTGAATGCATTATTAAAAGCAATATTACAATAAGTGAATCAGAGAAGTTGCTTTGATATCTGTATTACAAAGCATATTACAGTATATGCTTATCTAGGACAGAACAAAGCTGTGTCTGAATCAGCACAAAGTATTTAATATTCAGCAGCACAAAAAAAAAGGTCTAATGGCTTTTTTTTTTTTTTTTACAAATTTTTAGCATTTGAAGCAGAGTTCAGTTACTCAGTGTCACCCTTTATATAAAAGGTTAATTTGTAATGCACTCACCTTGCCATAGCTTGCCTTTTCCACATTTCTTCCTTGTCCACTATTTGGTGTATTTCAGTACTGAAATCACTTTTCTCTTTGATGTTAACTGTTTCATAAGCATCTGTGAACTTGACATCAGTAAAGCCAGTGGAAATTTGGAAAATGGTTTGTTGTAAGCTTTGCACTTGGGGCTCATGTTAATTAGACTATCAAAAAGCATTGGTTTCATATGAATTCCAGATCCTCTCTACAGTTAATTGACTGAATCTGTAGTGCTCATTTTCTACTCATTTTGGAAAACGCATCCAGGTTGCTTGAGTTATTCCTTTTGTTATAGTTTTTAAATAGTGGATAGAAATTATTTGAGATACGTCGGGGATGGAACCATTTTGGTAGCACATAGCAGACATTTTTCCTTAAAGGTGTTGGCTTTCAGTAGCTTTTACGTGAGTCATAGAATATGGGATGCATTCCCTAAGCATATTGTTTTCCAGTCTGTCAGACTATCTCACCTTTCATCTTTTGCATATTTTATAGATTTCTCACATCAAATGCGTCAGAAATACATATGACAGCACACGTTTCCTTTATTGCTGGGGCAGTGTTGCTTTGCACAGTGTTATTTGCCTTCTAAAGTTTGAACTTCAGAACTGTCAGTCTTTATATTGAAATTCTGCATTTGTCATTCTTAACAGAAAGGGCTATTGCAAGACATGAAGTCAGAGAGATAGAACAACGTCATACAGCAGATGGCCCCCGACAAGATGTGATGCTGGATGAAGAAGATGATGTGGTGATTATTTACAATAGAGTACCTAAGACTGCCAGCACATCCTTCACAAATATTGCCTATGATCTTTGTGCAAAGAACAGATACCATGTTCTACATATCAATACAACCAAAAATAATCCCGTTATGTCTCTGCAAGATCAGGTAAGCAGCCGCATTTGGGATGGTTCTATTAAGCAGGTGGAAAGAATGGAAAACTTTTTTAGCTATTGTAATCATACGAGATCTGATGGAATCAACTTTGATATCACGTTTTCCAGTATAAATGGAGCTTAACATGTTTATTTTTATTTTTTCGTAGAGAAGAATTAAATAATAGGTTTAGTATTTGTTGTGCTGCTGGAGGTGGTAAGTACCTGTTCATAGGAAAAAAGCTAAGCTAAAAAGAGACATAGCTATGGAAGTCTTGACCTTTGTTTTTATAGCTGTGTGTAGTGCATTAATGCATTGTCTGCCTTTTGGCTCTTTAATAATATTTGCCTGTCATCTCCATCTGCAGTGCATGCAGTCTTAAGTGCTCTCCTCTGCATAGTGCGGGTGCTGTGCTGTCAGGGCTGCACTGCTCCTTTGATCAGGTCTGGTCAGGTCTCGCAGGTGACAAAACACAGGTAGGAAGATGTGGCTGTGAAGAGACACTGTAAATGGGTCACTTCGTACTCGCTTTGAGCTCTAAACTAAATTCATGGAAGTCTCAGGTTGGAATTGATATTTGCTACTGCTGCATCATATGATGAGTATTTCAAAAAGACGATGATGGAAGGGATGAATGCTGCATTTTTCTTGTACATAGGGTGGGGAAATAGGTTTTTTGTTTTTATGTTTTAAAATATTTCCTTGCTCATCCTGACTGCACGTGCAGGAAAACTAAGTCAAAGGTCTGGAACATCACTGTCCTTGTCCCTGTCCATAAAGCAAATGTTGCCAAACTCTCAGTTTGTGCTGCCCATCGTCTGCTGATCGCCTTAAGTTGATATGCAGCAGCATCAGGAGCTGTTCTGCATTGCAGCATGTCAGCACTGAGGCTTCCAGCTCCTTTAAGTGCGTGCCTACAGGCAGGAGTACTTGGAACAGCTGCTGTAGTCTGGAGGAGGGGGAAACAGATGGCAATGGGCCCTCCACTCTCTGTTCTATGTGGGAGAGAAAGAGTGAAGTTGGGATATGAGCATGGGGGCACAGGCTGTAGTTGAGGTGGGAATGGGCACCTGTTTTGTGGTGATGGGATTGTGTCACTGTTGGGTTCTTGCTGTTGTGAATTTTTTTTCCTGAAGTATACAGATGATATTGTGATTTAATCAGGCAGTCATCTGTGGAGCAAATGCTTAAGATCTGTGCCCCAAAAGCAGAGTTAACATACCACGTTCATCAGTACCACTTGGTTGAGTCATTAGGTGCATCACCAGTAGTGATATGTACCCAGCATAGAGGCAGAATTGTTTTTACTGGTGATACTGTTTGTTAAAACAAGTATCTCCCAGAGCAAGGTGAAGACTATTTTAGGCTGATGTAAATAAATTAGTAAAATAGTAAACCTTCTGGTATATGCTATTTCTGCAGTGCTTTTTCCAAACTATTCTAGTTCTGTTACAGATTTTAAGTTCTCTGCCCATATGTGGAACCTTTACTTCTTGAATGCAATCTGGGAAAGATGACTACTTAAAATTCACTCCAAATATAAACTGTATCTGTTTCGTGGTAATCTCACAGAAGTCCCTAACACATCCATTTTAGTTTCAGATGGAACTTTTCCCAGTTCCTTTCTTGCAGCTTGTCTGAAGGCAGGTTACTGGGATCTGCCCCTCTTTCCATAGGTTGGGTTTTTCCTTTGCAGAAAGCTCAGCACCATATTTGCATTGCTGACCTGTGTTCAATAAAATGAAGTAATTGTATTTTTTTGTTTGTATGTTTCAGTACTGATATCTTTTTTCCATACAAGTTTGCCTTTGTTGTGGCTAACTGGATGTCATACCAGTCACACGAAGTTCTGCTTCTTTGTTATATAGTAAAATTGTCATCTAATAGATTTAAAACTAAATTACTTCTCTATCTTGCAGCATGTATTCTTGATATATTATCAGAAAAAGGGAGCGTGGGGACACATTTTTTTGGTGCTGTTGTTGTGAATGTACAAAAAACATGGTGTAGTTATCCCACATTTCGTTACTTCAACGTGCTGCTTGTAGTTCTTCAGTATTTTATCTTGTGCAGTTTCTCCCCATTTTTCTCAATAGGGCAAGCTGAAAACATATAATCTTATTTCCTGATGTATTCTAAAGTGGTAGCCTCTCAGAAGATAGCACATTTGTACTGACTTTAGTAATTTGTATTTCCTTTACTGGTGCAGATTTCAACAACTGTCAGAAGTGGAACAGAAAGGCAGTCTGTTAAAAGTGGAAGTAGTGTGCTGTGAAATATCCGGTGCTGAACATGTAAGAACAGGCTGGTGCACACCTGTGACCACTGCTGTACACGTGTCAGGTGCATTTTTCCTTCTTAGGAAGAGCTGTTTGTGCCAGACAGGTATCCCAGCTTTTTACCATGGCTGGGCTGGTCATTTCCCGTCTTTTCAGCATCTCATAGAATTGCTTCTCAGATGCCTTGCCTTGATCTTGTCATTTTTCATGGCATTCAGCCAAAGCTGTGCTGCTGGCGTCTCTCCAGTGTTCCTGACCCTCTACTTCAGAGGCAAATGCAAGTTGTTAGCTTGGAAAGCTAAGCTACTGGTGCCTTACCAGAAAGATTCCAACTCAGGAATCCCATTGTGCCTGGTCTTGAAATATAAATCAGATTTCTTGTAGTGGAGACACTGCTTGCAGTCTTTCTTGAAAACTTTTTCTACTCAAACTTTTATGGGGGGGAAATTCTCACATGTCCTTACCAGTCTTGTGATGTTTATCATCCCAACTATTTGTATATTAAGTCAGTTATTTTGCTATTGACAAGTCTATAATAAGATGGAATGAAAAGCTGGGGAACTTTTAGTATCCAAAGATCCACATGGTACCAGATCATAGGTAAGGTGTTCAGGATGGGTGTGTGTGTCAGCCTGTGGATATGATTAACTGATGGAAACTGGTGGACAGAGGTGATGGTTTACAACACCACTTTGATTGCATGTACAGATTTCACTTGGCTTTTTGCTCAGACCGAGTATGCTGGTTTTTTTGTTTGTTTCTTCTTTCTCACTGGGACTTGCTTTAAATTCTTATCATCCTAGAAACTGAATGCATTTAACTTACCTTTCAGGACATCTTACGCCCCCAGAGTACTTTTGATCTGGCTTTTTAATTCAGTGAAGCTCAGCCGATTTCTCACTTACTGAAAGCTGTGAAGCAACTTTGTAGCTGATTATATAAAAGCCCCATGAAACAGCTTCACAGGAATTCCATTCACATCTATCTGAACTTTAAAGTAACCTCCAATTTTATTCACTTGGGTTCAGTCTCCTGAAAGCTGCAGTATCTGCTGAGCCCTGAAAAGAAAAATAAAATTTATCATATTTAACAGCAAGAATCAGCAAGCTGTATTTATCTCTGCCCTAAAAATGTGTGAATCTAGACTCGTTAGAATCATCATAGACTCGTTAGGCTGTGGCCTGGAATAGTTCTGACTTCTGGAAGGCTGCAAACTATGGGAAAGAAGGGAAAAAGCATCTCTTGCCTGCAGGCTAGGTATAGGTGTTGAAAACTTGCATTCTCAGGGGCACTGTGTGTTGCTTGTCTGTATCTTAAGGCAGATGTAAATGTCACATAAAACCTTCCTAGCCTTACTGTTAGCTGTGCTGGCATTAGTGCTAAAGCTAATAAAAGGCTAGAACATCCGCTCAGGTCTCTTGTTGTACTACAGAAATTGTAATTTCTTCTGCAATAACCCTGCTCTGTGATCATAAAAAAATATTTCCTTAGCAAAGACATTCTAAGGCAAATGTGTTTTGTTTTTTAAAGAAGGATTACTGGCATGTATAAGGTAAGATACCAGATGGTAGACCAGAGATCTAAGACACAGGTGACCCTTGGGAATTTGCAGTTAACATTTTTCTGTGTCTGGTACGAACTGAAATCTAGCTGGTACATCAGAAAGCTTGTTCATGGAAGCATCATTAAAATGAGTGCTTTTATTTGCATGCCAAATATACTAAATACATAATATAACTGATTATCTTGCAGAATTGTAGCAACTAACTGATATTTTGTGTACTGGGGGGGATGATAACATGTACTTTCCACTGAAGGAACTTCTTGAGGCTCTCCATTAAAAATGTCTTGTCTTTAATCTTAGAAAGGTGTCATCAGTGAAAGTGGGGTTTGTTTCAGTAGTAGCATAGGTAATTCCACTGAATTCAAACTGGCATAGCTATATTATCATACGTGCTGCAGACAAAGCAAGGCTGAAAGCCAGTGCAGTTTATGAAACACCACTGTATAATGTTGTGCAGTGCTTTTCAGATAGATTTACTGCAGTTTTTCATGTGCAATATATGGTTTAAATTGTGAAATGCCACAGAGTGTGAAACTTGTGCATTGAAAAATAGTGCTGTGTGTTATTAAAAACTGATATCCATTTGTTTTACTCGAGTCCAAGAGTCAGTTTGAGGAAACAAGTAAATGATTATCAACCATGTTAAGTCCTTGATAGCAATTTTTGCACTTCTGAGGAACCAGTAACAGGCCAGTCCTAGCTTTTGAAATCTTCATTGGTTTGTGTTTGTTTCATGCTTTTGTGACACTCTGAATCCACATAGGTCTCTGCAAAAGTAATGCCTCCTGTTTATTTCCATGGAAACAAGAACAGATGTGAAGAGCACAATAACACTATTTGATAGTGCAAACCAGGGTCTATAAAACACTATTAACACAGTCACCACCTGTGCATTTTCATGAGCAGTGAACAAGAGCCTGCATACTGTGCTTGTAAAAATGAGCATCTGTGGAGGTGACCTGCTGTCACCACTGCTGGAACGCACCACTCACTGCCTCACTGTGCTCACATCCACAGCTTGGTCTCCATCAATGTTCAGCAAGTGGTGATGAATGTCAGTGGGTGCTTTTTATTCCTTGTGGACAAATTCAGTGACACACCTTTGCTTCATCCACACCTCCATGTCAAACACCATTCTGTCAGACTGCCCCTCTGCTGCCATCTGTCACACAACAACAAACTATAATGGGATATTGGTAGGAAGTCTTGACCTCTACTGCTGTGCCACCAACATCCACCTCTGACATTGTGGGCCAGCATAATAAACACGGAGCATTACTTCTGGAGAAGCTCTCATATTACACCTTAGAGAGGATATTAATGTGTTGTCTTGAGCTCTCAAACTTCAGTTTTATGACTTTGTTTGTCTTTTGACCTCAGTATCCTTACTCTAATCTGTGCACTGTATAACAAAGAAGATACTATAGATATATGGGGAAACAAAGATCTGTCTTCTAATTCTCACCTTCAGAAATGGTGTAGCATCATCACACAGATCAGGCAGTACAACTTTACCTTTTTTATTATCCAATTCACTAGTTTTAAAATAATTTTCAGAGCTAAATGCTTTAATGCCAAAATATTCTGCTCACCTGATAAAGGCAAGCTATATCAGGATTTGTATGTCCCACTTACTCATACTTTCTGCTTTGGAAGCTATTTCTTATTTTGAGTGTTTTTACCTTTGTAATGTAAAGCTGTTTCTGTTTTTTATTGCATTTACTGGTACTGGCTCTATCAGCCTTTGTTTAAGGGCTAATTAGTACTGTAATATGGAAGTTTCACTGAGAAACAAAACTTGAAATAACTATTCAAGGTGATAAACTGTAGATCTAATTTACTCTTTATACATCTACAGAATTTCTGGATTACTCATGAATTGCATTTGGGAGGGGAAGCAAATAAACCATCAGACTTGTTTCACGTCCCAGTAAAATAGGTCTAAGAAAATGTTTGTAAATGTGGGATGCTGTTACTTGAGGAACTGAATACAGGCCAGACCATTCCATCAAAGCTATACTTGCATTTATGCTGACAGTCAACAAAATTCTGCATTCCTCTCAAATTACAAATAAGAGAGACTGACAAAAGATTGTTTGCATTGTTAATGTTGTTATAACATTTATTGAATTGCTCTTATGCTGGCTGTATGCTGCTTTTGCTTAGTTTCAGATCATTAAATTGGGATTATCTAAAATGAGTCATATATGTGCTTGCAGAAGAGTCGAACTTCATTTGGCACAAATTATTTCATAATATTTCAAAGTTACTTTAGACTTTTCTTCTAATGCATCGTAAGCCTTTACTTAAAATAACAAGATGCCCCAACTGTGTTAGGCGTAGCTTAATGTGTTCCAGCTGCACAGAAAATCTGCTGTCTGTTTTTACAGGTTCGATTTGTGAAGAACGTGACTTCCTGGAAGGAAATGAAACCAGGATTTTACCATGGACATGTATCTTATTTGGATTTTGCAAAGTATGTTACCACTAATTTAGCTGTAGTGCAGCCGTTTGGCTCCATCTGGGATATTGCTGCCCTCTAGCGATGGAAATCTGACAAGTGCTAGATTTCCTAGGATGAGCAGTAGCTAGTTGGGATTTTCACAGGTGGCTCGTCTTTCTCATGTGTCCTGTGAGCTTACCAGCTGATTTCATCAAGCTTCTACTTTGTGCCACAATAAATAAAAATTAGCATAAGTAGATATCTGAGGAAAAAGAAATATCTTTGATAGAGCAATCAGTGATTACAGACATTGCCTTAAACTCATATTTAATAAGCAGAGCCGTATCAAATCAGCCCTGGTAGTGGGTGGGCTCAGAGTTGTCTCTCTGCTGCCAAGAGTTCACGTCTTTTCCAGCTGGAGCCTGGCCAGGAGGGCCCTTCCTCACTGCAGAGCGTGGGTTGGCAGGGCAGCAGCAGGAGGCAGGAGTTCAGTACCAAATGTCTATTTATTATTAACGAATATATAGCTGCTAGATTCATGGAGGTGTTTCTTGAGTCAGGATAGTTGTGCAAATGCCTGGTATCTGTTCTGCAAGAATATTTCCATTTTGTTTCATTAAATAAATTAAAAAAAAAAAAAAATCGCTGAGAACTGAAATTGAACAGACTTTCACATCCACGTTCCTGCAGTGGGGGGTGGGAGGAACGAGCATTAAACTTCCTCTGACCAGCATCTGCTCTCTCAATAGATTTCCGTTGTGTTATAGAGGCTGACCCCTAAGTATCTGATGAGAAGCTTTGATTTCACCTTTAAAAGACTTTTTTCCCCCCCTCTTTTACTTTAGATTTGGTGTTAAAAAGAAACCAATTTACATAAACGTCATAAGAGATCCCATAGAACGACTGGTTTCTTACTATTACTTTCTGCGCTTCGGAGACGATTACAGACCAGGGCTACGAAGGAGAAAGCAGGGGGATAAGAAGGTAAAGTACACGTTGTTATGCACGGTGTTCTGACCCAGGACGACGAAAAGTGAAGCACGAACTGCATGCTGACCCCCTCCTGCCGCTCCCGGTACGGCCGTGCCGCTCCCCGGGCCTTTGGCGCCCCCTCCCGGCACAGTCGGGCAGCCGGCAGAGCCGTCGTTGAAATGACGCGCTGTGTTCTATTCTTCGCGTTCTGATGCACTGCGTTAGTAGTTTTGTTTGCTTGCTTTTTTTTTTTTTTTTTTTTGTCACCGACATACAGACATATTGGTTTATTGGAAGTGAATTGATTTGATCTTAGGGCTTCTTTCATTGTCTTTGATTGGGTAAGCCACTTTTCCACAGTGTTTCAATAGAACTGTACATAGACAGATGCTGTCATTTTCACACATATTAGGTAAAAATTCAGTAAGTTCAACGGTAGACTGATTCTCGTACAGTGTCTGTAACAGTGACTGATGTGTGTTCTGATTCTGTTAAGACAGAATCACTGAAAGCTCTTCACAATAAAATCAGGGAAGGTCAAAAATAGTTTCAACATTTGAATTCATTGTGCCTTTACTAAGTGGCATCTCAATATCCATTTTACCATTAACCTTCCCCATCCGTGCCACACCATATATGTGGGAGAATTCTTAATTTTCTGTCTATACCTCTGTACTTGAAAAGTTAATAGTTTGCTTGGCTCCAAGAACAGAGGCTATAAAGTATTTCTTAAAGTTTCTGGATGGAGCAGTCAAGGTACGTATGGAGGAGGAAGTGAGGAAGGGAACTTCTGTATCATCTTTGCATTCTCTTACACATTCTAACTATAAAATATCCTTCAGGAATAAGCAAGGAAGCTTTTCTTTTGACTGGGGCCATTTCATATTTAGTATATACGTTTGTAAGTTAGGAGATGCATTTTAGCAATTTAATTTTTAGGTAATGTTGGTGCTCTAAATTTATAATGGAGAATCAGACCAGAATTCCTCTGGAGCACTATTCTAGCAAATGCATACCAATGTCCTGTTTCCCTAGTCAAACTGTGTCTTCATCTGTGATGTATAACATGTATCAGCTATTTGATACTCAGAGCACAGTGCAGAACAAGACACCACAGGTTGGATAATCCCTGTTTTTTATGGTATTCTTACATTTTTCACATTACTTTGAGGTCTGTACCTCAAAATAAAAGCAAAGTCCTTATTCTAACATGGAAGAATTAAACAAATGCATTTTTACTTTCCTGGTTTGAATAGAAAATTGTGATTGCACAGAAAAAAAATAATCTAAATTTTGTCTTTGTGATCACTTATTAGTTATTAAATTTGAAAAATAATTATCCCAGGTTAGTAGCTCATATCTTGATTTAAAATATTCTATGATGTTATTTTTTATGCTGACTGAATATAATACTTAGAAATTCTTTACAATGCTAATGGAGTTTTTATTTGAACTGTGTTACTGTAATCGAAACTCTTGTGTTGCTACAGCTGCCTGCCCATGTAAGTGTAGTTGTTTGGAATGTTCACTTACCCAGTGAACAACTTTCTTTCACTCCCACTTAGTTCTTTGTCATAATATTTAAAATGTAATAGAACATACTTTAATCTAAAGCAGAAATGGCACAGTGTTCTATGCTCTGAAGATCCAGCTGTTTCAGCATTATACTAGTCCTGGTGACATTTGTATGTTTAGTAACTTCTTTGTAATGAAAAAATGACAATACCAGCACTTAATGGCTGTTTTTGCTTGTTTTGATGTACAACCTTTGTGAGGGGCACAAGTAAAATCCAGTTGTTGATTACTTCCATATATAAAAGGCTTCCCAAATACTATTTTAATTTGGACAATGAGGTCCTCCCAGTAAAATACTGTATGAGCAAGACTTGAAAAAAGTAGTTTATTTTTTCTTTTGCATATCTTGTGTTTTTTGCTCCCCAGTACATCTAGCAACTAACAAGGTCGAGTTGCTTGATACACATACTCAGCTCTGTGTTGTCTCTGTTCCAGACCTTTGATGAATGTGTGGCAGCTGGAGGTTCAGATTGTGCTCCAGAGAAACTCTGGCTTCAAATTCCATTCTTCTGTGGCCACAGCTCCGAGTGCTGGTAAGGAGATAAATGTGGCTTAAGTTAGTTGTGTTTGTCACCACTCAAATTTGTTTTTAACAAATCTGAATGTGTAGTACAGTTGGGGAAAGCGTGAAAAACTGGATGCAGTTTAACAGAAGGTACTTTACTAATGTATTTTCTTCTGAAGGCACTTTGAAAAGCATTTTACTGAAGCAGTCTTGCAGTACTTTAAAAAAGCAGTATGTTAGAATACTGTGTCAGCAGTGCCCTGAAGAAAAACAAATGATTTCATTTTTTAAACAATTATTTTTTGTACATGTGGAGTCTTTAACTTTTTCTGTTCCATCAGACTACAGTATCTGTCTTTCTGAATGTGGATACTTGGTTCCAGCTCCTAGAGTCTTTGCAGAAGATGAAGTATTTGAGTTCTGGATAAATTTATCTACTTAAACCTCTACCAGACATCCTCTAGTCAATGTTACATAGCAGTAACTAGAAGAAAAGCAAGCAGTGTCCATCTGTCAATACTGATGTTTTATAACAATGGCCCAGACTTTAAAGAACTGTTTAGCAAATCAAAATTAGAAAACTGCTTGCTCACATAAAATAATTGCATTCTAGTACTGTGTAATAGAGAAAATAGTAATATATGAAAAAACAAAACCAACACAAAAGTGATTTGAAGGATTCTGAGTAAAATGAAGGAGAATTATTTATCACAGTTACCATTCATCCAAATGGAATTAATTTATCATAAGCAAAGCAAGTGATCACTTGGGAAGTTGTTTTTCAGTGCCTGTTGGTCAGACAGCTGGACAAGCAGGGAAAGAAAGAAGGAAGTATGAACCTATATTTTTTCACCCTGACTTGACCTATAAAAGGAGGAATATGCTAGTTCAGTTTCTCTTGTTGCTTAATAAGGAAGTCTTCCCATTAACTACAGTGACTTTCTAGTACACAATTAGGCTTATAGAGTGCAAGAGGAAAGGTGTATTCTTACCAGAATCATTTGTGATATCTAATGTGAAAGTGAAGAAAATGCAAATCCTCTGAAAATTGCAGTAGTAGAGACAGTAACTGCATACCATACACTGTGAAATTTTAGATGCAAGCACAGATAGTAGAAATGGGGAAGGAAAATAAAGGTAGAAATAGTTGGATCTCACCTTTCTTATATAAGAAAGGTCCTGTTATGAAGTAATCTTCATCTAGGGACCAAGGATTGTTGGCTTACATCAGAACTTGTTGTAATTGTCCTCTGCCATTTTAGGAATGTGGGGAGCAGATGGGCTTTAGAACAAGCCAAGTACAACCTAATTAATGAATACTTCCTCGTGGGAGTTACTGAAGAGCTTGAAGATTTCATCATGTTATTGGAGGCAGCTTTGCCCCGGTTCTTCAGGGGTGCCACAGAACTGTACCGGACAGGTATTTAAATGGTTGCTTTCTATATCCCTTTCATCCTCTTATCACTGTTTAAAATGTGAATTGTTTAAATCTACATGAATAGTTTTAAAAGTCCATGAAGTTCGCCTCTCAGTTGAACGATGTTCCTACAAAAGAGAGGAACTCTTTAAAGAAAACACTCTGTCTTATACAGTTTGTAACACTAAGATTGGGGTAAAAGCAATTGTATCAGGTATGCCGCATTTGCAAATCACAGATGGTCAAAATACATACTTAGAAACTGGGGCAGATGTTTGTCAGAACGCTTTTGAAAGGTCTCACTAGAGTTTCAGTTATGTGGTTGGTAGTGGAAGATTTCTGTTTCCTAGGAAGCCCTGTTGAAATTCTGTTCTTGGTACAACCTAGTTAACTGTGCAAAATGAGTTTTGTTTTAGATGGGTTTTCATTTCAAAAACAGCAACAAAAAAGCACCTGTGTTCAAAATGAAAATTCAGATCTTCAAGTAATGAAGTGGGAGAAAAATGAATTTTAAACACAAAAACAGATGTTTTTTGTTCAAATGTCTTCCTTAAATTTGTTCTTATAAATGTGATTTCAAAAGCTGAAGTAATTTCTCTTTAGCTCAAGCATTTTTAAAATCAGTCACTGATAATGCAGAAGAAGTTTTGAAGACTGCCTCTGGATAATTTAGTTAAGGAAGGCCAGGACACAGAGAGCAAAATTATATCGTGTAAACTGTGAGAAGTTAACATGAAAAATTCTGCGCATCGTATTGAGAAACAATGAATTTTGTGGAGAAATCTGAATGCTGTTATACAGTATGTATCATAGGATTTCTGTGTCAGACTGAAGATCCATACAGCTCATGAATACTTAATTAAATACTTAAAGCTCAGTATCTGGTTTCTGGAGGTGGCCATTAGCTCACGTCAGCAGAAATGTGTAAGAATACGACAAGCATATGACAGTCATCACTGTTGGTTATCACCAAATCCCAACAGTGAGCAAAATGCACTTTGGTGGGTAACTTTTGCTCTTTGGAGAGTTTTTCTTCCATCAGCTGACTTTTTAAAAGTCCTCAGAAACTTGTCACAGCACTGACAAGAATCTTGGGGGTGGGGGAAAGTGCTGAAGAATTCTGACCTGAGTCCTTTCTTCTGTTGAAACTATTTTACATCTTTGATTGACTTTGTTATTTTGCTCTGCACCTTTTGCCAGCACACAAAGCACTGTCCTTCAAGCAGTATTTGCAGTTCAGGTTCTCTGTGAATTTATTTCTTTCTATATGAAAGTGTTCTTGATGCAAGATTGTTTTGTTTCCCAAAACCATTGGATTACATGGGATACAAAGGTCCAAGTGCTTCTGTCACAATGAGATGTATGTTATACAGATAACGGCTCACTTTCTGGGAGCTGGTCGTGCAACTTATGTAGTATTGACAAATTTAATATAATTAAATTTAATATAAAACAGCACTTCTTAAAGAAAGTACTGTCGTCACTTTTGTCATCTTCCTCTAATGAGAGAAGTATCTGGCTCTACAGTTTGTAAAACTCTTAACATTTGATACCAGATTAACATCTAAATAATTAATTTTGTAGGACTAATCTTGCTCCAAGTACATTATGTGAAGTAATCCTGTTCCTTGAATGAAATGTTCATTCGCTGGGTTTATTAGGCTAAGAAGAAAGAATTTTAAGAACTGATTCAAAATTAACATTTAGTGAGAGACTGCAATGTTCCAGCCCCACATATTGTGTTAATAAACTCTGGATTAAGTTGTGTCACTTCTAGCACAGTTTATCAGCATACTGAGAGTGTAAAACTCTGTAAATAAAAGGACTGTTTACATTTTTTCATCACATGAACTTTAAAGTGAAGCTATTGCTTTCATTTTGCATTTAGGAAAGAAGTCTCATCTTAGGAAAACAACTGAGAAAAAACTTCCCACAAAAGAAACTATTGCCAAGCTACAACAGTCTGAAATCTGGAAAATGGAGAATGAGTTCTATGAATTTGCACTGGAGCAATTTCAGTTTGTCAGAGCACACGCAGTTCGGGAAAAAGATGGAGAATTGTATATCCTGGCTCAAAACTTTTTCTATGAAAAGATTTACCCTAAATCAAACTAAGAACATAATACTTTTAGATTTATGGACCTAAATCTTTGGTCACATCATCATCTTAGTCCTCAGCCATGGAAACTAGATTGCTTGTTAGACCTCCAAGATGTTTCTCTATAGGTCCGAGAAAAGCGGGCTGTGGATCACCTCCAGGGCGTTGGATACTAACTATGTTGGTAATCCAGAAGCAAAAGCTTCGTGTCTTTTATCTAACTAATACTTTCAGTGGGAGTTAATACCCTTTACCTGAGGAAATCTTCACTTTAATTTGGAGCAATTAACACACAGCAGTTTTAGTTGAAAATATAAAGGAAAAAAAAAAAAGCTTCTGTTAATGCTCTTTTTTAATTTTCAGAGCAATTTATTTTCATTTATACTTCTGTGAAGAGGAAGTCATTTTTCCCAGCTTTCAACATGGAAATCTTGGTTGTATACTATATGAGTAGTGTTAATAACTGGTTGACATCTGTGCTTTGTTTTTGTGAATCATGTCACACGATATTGGTTGGGATAGTTAATCATGTTCTGCTGAGAAATGCTGCTGCCGCTGGAATTGCCCATATTTATATTTGTGGTTTTATTAAAAAGAAATTATGACTAATCATTAGTGTTAAAACATCATTTCCACATCAATACTGTAAAAAGTTAAAGAATCAGCAGTGGGATTTTTTTTGTTGTTGTTCTTTATGCCCACCACCACTTGACCGAGGTTGGGAAAACTGCAAGGAAAGTTGGTTTTGTCTGCAGTTATAGTCAATACCTGCACAGTGGTATAAAAGTAACAAAATCAGTATAAAGTTTCTCCATGGATTCCTTGTAATTATTGTAAGCTGAGGTATTGGTGAATCCATATTATGACTCCATTAGTGAGCTGTGGTATGGTTAGGGTTTTCCTACTACTTCAATACTTTTACCTGTAGAATATTTTTACTAAGGTGCTTTATAATGTGTTTTAAAGCATTGCATTTACAAAAGGAGTAAAATGCTGTAAATACTGCTTATTTTATGTATTTGGACCAAAAGGTTTAAAGTAACTAGTTTGAAGTGGGTTTTTTTGCACCAGTTCTGTTACGTGTAAAGTAAAAAGACATCAGATATGCTTCCTGGTTGAGTTAACTGTTGGATATTGCTGAAATGCACTTCAGTGACCTCTATGACTTTAAAACTAGAATGTCATCCAGAGATTCTCTTTACAGAAACGTAGCTTTCATCCTTTTGTTATATTAAGAGGAAAAGAAGAAAAATGTGATGTGTAGTCTGGTTGAGAAAGATGCAGTGAACTTGACATAATTGTATTTATGTAACTGCCTTATGTGACTGTTGTAAATTTGTGAGTTGCTGTTATTAACAATGTGAAACACCTGGTAGATCAAGATAAATTGAAATTTGAGAACAGATGTATGGGGCCACTGCATTATAGCAAACAGCAGTGGAGAACTATAAGAATTTGTTTCCTATTGGATTTTCTTAAATATGAGTATTTACACATCTTACACCTGCCTTTTCTTAAAGTGCTTTTCATTGAGTTTGATAGGAGAGAAGGCACAGAGGAGACAAAGTTAGGAGTAAAGCAAAAAAAAGGGGGAGGGAATTGTAAAGGTTTTGATTCCTAAGGGATGATGCAGAAGGCTTAGTTTAAAATTACCAAGTGGAGTTTCCTTAACCAGCTTGTTCTTGTAATGAAAACAAAGGAAATGGAAAATGGTCTGTGAACTGGGTATCTGCAGCCAAAAGCAACAGTCCAATAACAGACAGGATAATGAGGGACTGTCAAGAACATCTTGTGTTTTCTTTGTTTTCTTGGATTTTCTTTTTGAATTTCAAAAATAGCCCTCATTGTTCTTCCCAAATAATCAGGGAAGTTCCTTCTGGTAGCTTACCATTTATATAGTGTGAACCCTGCATAAGATTTCCTGTTCCAGTTCTTTTCAACTGATGTCATTAATAATGCCAACAGGCTTGAGAATGTGTTCACACATGGAAACATGCATCCTAGCTAAAGGAAGGAGCTGAGGAATCATACGTAGGAAGTAGCAAATGGAGATCTAAAAACTTTCAAAAAAAGTTACTGCTTTGTTATAAAATAAAAGGAATATTTATAATCCCAGTGAAGATTATCTACTAAGTGATAGTTCTATTTTAGATGTATTGACTAAATTCTTTTCCTTCATTATAATTTGGATTGGTTTACCTTCTTGAGTTGTCTTCAAAAGTTTTCAGAAGAGCACCTTTTTAAGAGAACAGAAGCATTTGCTAAGTGAAAATATACAACGTTCACCTTAGTAATGAAAAAGGTATTTATGCAAATACATCCGTATTGACAAGAAAACAGTAGGCAAAGCCTATTCGATATATAGAAATCTTCTATTTCATAAGCAATTTATAAGTTTTTTTCTTTTTTCCCCCCCCAGGATTTAAGGTTTCTTAAAGGAGTCTTCAGTAACAGTAGAAGAATACATTTTATTTTTTAATTCAAAGAGCAATATATTTTTCATAGTTCATATAAGACATTTGATTTACTTCCTATTCTTTGCTGTGAACTGACAGGGTGGAGGCAAACGAGCTTAAATATTTTTAAATAATGCTAGCTACAAATGGAGAGGTAATCATTTTAGGTGTACTCTGAAAACTTTACTGCCGTGGAATACAGAAAGGAGGCAAATGGTCTCTTTTATATCTTGTGCTGCCATCTAGTTGACTGTGAACTTTCTTGGTCTCTTTCGAAATAAGAACTGTCCAAAGCAGAGTTTAGGAAAACGAGCTTTAAGAATTATGAATAACCTGCTGTCTATTGGTATTAAAAATATTTTGCAGTATATGAACAGAATTTATCTTGTGCATTTCCCCTTAATGAGTTAACATGAAAAGCAGCAATATGTAGACTTCTGTTATTGCAGGTTCATTAGACTTACTATGCAGCCTCCTGAACACAGATCTTTTAACTGAAAACACTTTTAACTGAAAACACTGCATAGGAGTGAGATTTGATATTTTCTGGGCTAAGTTCATTTGAAAGGTGCTGAAATGCTCAAAATTATAGTTGAGAGTAGATCCTGTTACACTGTTCTGTACTTTTTGTACAAAACAAACATTCAGATTTTGTGCAAAATTCTAGCCCTGTTGAAACTCATGGTTGTCAGTATATGGCACTTGGTTCAGCTGTGCTGACAACTACATAGCCATAACTCTAGCATGCCTGGAGCATTTGAGATATACTGGGCAGTGCTGACAGGAGAGCAACAGTGTTCTTTGCTCCTTCCCATAACAATTCTGCATTCATGCAACAAGACTTTCTTTCCTGTTTTCTTGTGCATCTACAAGCAGACATCTACAAGCAGTTCTAGAGTGTAGGATGTGATACATGTATACTTTCCAGTTCACTCTGGATTTATTTTCATACAGTCTTTAATGGTGTGATCATAGCTTCATTTTCAAACAGGCACAAAAAATGATTGCTATACAAGTATGACAAAGGAAAAAGCAATTCATCTAGGTCGTTTGAAATGCCTTTTCTCTGGGTATTTAACTTTTCTGAAGATACATGGCTATTTTTGTGTTCCAGGAATATACATTTCCTTGTTCATGATCTCAGAGCAGTTCTATTTTAATATCAGGGAAAATTCAGTTGTTTTCTGCTATAATTCTGTTAACATTTTCCATTAAGATTACCTAGTGTTGCTAAATGAGTATGAGACAAGAGTTATATAGATGATGACGACTGAACTGTGCTGCTTTGCAGTCAGTGGAAAAACCTGATTCAAATGCACTGCCAATTTAGCTCTTCAAAATTAGAGCTTATTTTATGACTACTGGAGATAAAGAAACTGTAGCGCTACTGAGTTGCATGGATGCATCCTTTAATTTAAGCCTATGCAACTAGGTAGCCTCTGCAGCAGTATTTAAAGGAAGAGCCCTCTTCATGAAGACTTTTCTGGGGCATAATTATAAATGTTTATACCCTTGTACTGTCTTGTATCTACATCAGCAGCTTTCTGTAGCTTCTGTAAAAAAAAAGAAAAAAAAAAGAAAAAAAAGGCAGGTTTGTGAGCATTTCTAAAGTAGTACTGAATGTAATTTTGAAAAACATGGATTGTCCTTCATGACTCTTTTCTTTTTAAATACACACACAGCTAAATAGTGCCTTTTTTCCTCACAATCCATGTTGAAGATGCTCGCTCCCTCTCACTCCGTAAATTGATTTGTTTGTGCAATACTATTCCAACTTGAAACCATTTTGTCACAGCTGTTTGAGAAATAATCTCCATTTTTCCTTATTATGCTGCCAGCTTTCTGTTGTTGAAGTGTTTCAGTTGATTACCTAATGCAAATGCTCTAAAATAAAATGCCCAGTGGGAAGGGGAAAAAAAAGAAGTCTGGTGTCCTGTCTTAATATTTGTATGTTACATTCATGCGAAATGATCTTTTTCTAGAACATGTTGTCATGCAGTATCGTGAACCTCATTTGCAGCTATTGTGGTTGTGGAAGGGAGGAGTGAGCTGCAGCGTAGTTCATGTGTAATCACTGCATATAGCTATAACCAAATACATTATAAATAAGCCTTTAGAATTTTCATTGGGCTTTATGGACAGAAACATAACAACTTTCCAGAGGATATACATTGTGTGAGAAGTGTCAGTGAAAAGTTGTTTAATATTAAAATCAAACAGAAAATTGGCATTAAAACAATGGATTGATGCATACCTGCTTCTCTGCCTGCGAGAACAAACGACGTGACAGATGACTGTGGGACTGGAAGATGCTCCGTTACTGCAGTGATGAGTGCGGTGTAGGAACTTGAGCAGAATAGAAATGTGGTTTGGATTTGTAGGCAAGCACTTGAAACAAGAAAATACAGTGAGCGTGGGTACAACACTGTTTAGGATTTCTTCTGCGTACTGTAAACATTACCCTGTAAACATTCCTTACTGCATGCACTATGGAGCTGAACGATTCTCTGTCCCAGCCAAGTTTCCTAATTCAATAGTTCCTAAATATTTGGTTGTCAGCTGTGATGATTACAAACCGTGGTGCAGTTATTCAGCATCTTCCTCTTGAGGATTTTGCAAACTTTAAAATCCTACTTTTGTTGCAAGTAGACTTTTCCTTACTCCTGTCACTGGAAGAGATAAGTGTAATTGCTGTGTAGGAAACAAAGTCTCTGCTTCTATCAGCCAGTGGGAAGTGAAGGAAGAAATTGCCTAGCCTATATAAAGGATGTTCCAAGGTCACCACACCTTCTTCTGAAATGATGTAGTAAACAAAATGACAGACAACAAAATTTACAGTACAAACAATCTTTTATTTAAGATGGCAGTATTTGCTCCTGTGAAAGTGAAATGATGGTGGTGTTACAGACAGGAGTTAAGTACTCACTGAACCTCTTTTCTTTTTTTTCTTAACTGCTGCTGCCATTTGCACAGGTAATTAATCTCATCAGAGTTCATGAGAGGCGAGTGAAAGAAGGGGAAGATTTTTGTTTTTCACAGCTAGATTTTTTGAAGGTCTTGTATTTTTGTTTCATTATTTACTGTTTGAGTCTTGCATTTTATTTCAGTGTTATTCCCTTACTTAATAAAATACAAGAAGTTGCTAGTGAATGTCAAAGCAATGTCCAGATGTTTTCTTCAAGCACAAGTCCCCTGCTATGACCTCCCCCTGGCTTCATTACCACATAACGCAGATGTGGTAACTTTCAATAAGAGCTAATTTAAAAGACTAATAATACTCTTTATTAAAAAAAACCCTCTACAAAGAACACCTGTGGCCTAAAAATGAAGGCTTTGAGACCTTTCACCTTGTCATAATAACCAACTGCATCCTCATAAAAATGGAAAATACTGTGATAAACATTCTCTGCCCACTCTCTGTGTGTTTACAAGGCTTGTCCTGAATACCAGTCTGATTCGCTGCGCACAGGCATTAATTACTTTTTTTGTAATAAACGTGGATCTCAAAATAATTGCATGGAGAACAATTACCCATCTTCTTATTTTAAAAATATATAAAAATAAAAATCTCAGAGCAAAATAGATTAAAACAGTGATTGACGGGAATGGGAGTTATAGCTTAAGTATATAGGTATCACATTCCTCTATTTTTTCCTCTATATTTTAAGAAAAGGAATGCTGCCTTGCTGATAGATGCATATGTTGATCACTCCATAATTAATATAAACTCTGTTGTTTTGAATCAGAAAGCATTGTTATTTCAAATAAATTCAGCATTATTAAGGCAATGCACTTCTCTATTTTGAGAGAGAAGCACGCCTGCTTTGGTGTGATAATTTAAATGTCTTAATTGAACCAGAAGTTTTGGATCTGATGCAACAGTTACTGGAAAATATTAACTGTCTCTTTAAAAAGAAAAAAAAAAAGTCTGAAGAATAATGCTCTTCTGGCCCTAAAGGCATTATTGTCTTGACAAATATTGATTACCATTTTTAGCACAGTATAGAATTTGGCATTCTTAATCTCCTTTATTTAGAATTTAATAACTTAAAATGTTGCATGACATGGAGAATTGGCAGGGGGAAAAGGAATTCTTGACTGTTGGAGACGCATTCAGTTACAGGCTGGCTTTGTCAAGCCTGCCTCTGGGCCTTATGTAATGACAACTGAATAGATGGGCAACAGTTCTGTAGAGCAGTCAATATGGAAATAAAAGGCATCTGTGAAGATAACGGTAAAGAGTGGAGAGGAAAGTGTAGGCAGATATCTAAACCACAATATGAGATTGCAGCCATTCTAACGTTAACAGCTAAGATGGCTATCTTTGGACTAATTATCTGCTTTGGATCTTCAGTTCCTTCCCTAGACTGAATTAATACATTCAAGGTTGCAACCATCAAGGCCATTGCTATTATAAGCAAGGCTTGCACACAGACAAATGAAATCTCCCCTATTTATAACACCAGTCCAAGTACCTTTATCCAGTACTTCTTTTAGCTAAGCTATGGCTCTGGAAAAGCAGATTGTGCTGCCCAGAAGTCCCGTCTGCCCTTCAAGTGTGATCGTTGCTTCTTGGAAGATAAAGTGGACAGTAATGGTGTGGTGTAAGTCAAATCTGAGAAGTCTGGAGGAAAGCATTACATGAAGTAATAATTAAACACTTTTTCTTGGTGTCCATTCAGAACAAGTTCACTGTCTCAGGCAGATTCCCGCCAGACATCTGTTAATACTAAACGCTACTGCTGAGAGATGGTTGGAAACCTGAGGTTTACTTTCAGCAAAAATTACCATACACAGTGCTTTTTCTACAAAAACTTCTCAACAAATGTTGTGGATTGTTCTTTTTTCCTAATGCAAAAGAGGAATTTTTATATCAAAATCAGACCAAAACAGAAAAATTCCAGTATCCCCTCCCACTTCAGCAAATTCTTTTTCAATGCTTTTTTTCCCGAAGTGGATGGAAAAATGTGTGTGAGTATGGCATCTGCATTCTGCCTCTTCCTTTTCTTAGCTGGCTCTGGGAGGTGCTGCAATTTGTTCACAAGCCTTCCTAAGGACATGTCTTATCTCACAGGTATTGTTGCAAGACATGAGGTCAGACTCCAATAGCGGGTTTATCAAACTTTGTGTTTACTCAGGATCACCTTTGAGAGTAGTGGTGGCAGCAGAGCTCCCTATCCTGTGTGTCAGGCAATGCTTGCTGGTTGTGCTGAACTCTGCTGAGCACTAGTGAGCATGCACATGGCCCCTTGGATGTGTTTGCATCTGATGGTTACTTAATTCAGCAAGAATTTTTAACTGCCACTGTTTGTTTGTTTATTTATTTATATTAGTCTTTGTGCAGGACAAGTGCATGACAAGCTTAGAATCAGACTGCTATAGACAGGTATTATTAACAAAAATTTTGCAGCTGGCTCTTGTAGCTGTAAGCATTTTGGTTCTGTAACCCCTCATCTCCAATTCACCCAGCCTGGAACGTCTTCATATTTATATATGTGTATATATCCATGTATCTATGCATATATATTCATAGTTCTTATTCCTTAATTGCACTGGAGAGCAAATTACAAAGCCAAAGAGTCATATTCAAAGACATTTTTGGAAGCCAAGTTTGAAAACATTGTCAGTAGTCAGGAGGACTAAAGGATGCCTAGACAGATGCTCCCCTGCACTTTCAAAACCCAACTTTGTCTATCTGAAGCACCCTCTCTGCACCTGTTGAGCAATGCAGTTTGGGTTTTACTTGGTTCTAGTACCTAGGAAATAAATCTGAAAGATCTTTCTCCTGTGAAATATCCTTATAGTAAAGTTTATTGCTCCTTTAGTCTTTTCCAGGACAACTGCGTACCTTGTGACTGAGAGCATGGAGAAACTCTGATGCTGCAGTTAATTGTACATACCATGATGGTTATTCAAATGTTTTACAGCATTTTATGTTTTGCTTATGCAGGTTGATTTAAATTCATCTATTTTCTTGCATTTTCTCATACATGTAGGAAAAGTCTTGTTTGATATCCAGAAGTGCTTTTCTCTGTATGCTATGTTGATCCTTTCTGTGTTGATAGACACATGCCAATCTCATTACGTTTATCCAGTTTTGAACAGTGATTGATAACTGGAAGTCTTGTTGCCTTGCTCCAAAGATGCTCTGCGAAGAAGGACTTGGGGGTCCTGGTGTATGGGAAGCTGGACATGAGCCATCAGTGTGCGCTTGCAGCCTGGAAGGCCATCTGTGTTCTGGACTGCATTAAAAAAGGGGTGGCCAGCAGGAAGAGGAAGGTGATTGTCCCCTTCTGCTCAGCTCTTGTGAGGCCCCATCGGCAGTACTGCATCCAGGCCTGGGGCCCCCAGTACAGGAAGGACGTGGAGCTCTTGGAACAAGTCCAGAGGATGGTACTAAGATGATCAGAGGGCTGAAGCACCTCTCCTGTGAAGAAAGGTTGAGGAAATTGGGCTTCTTTAGCTTGGAGATGACTCGTTCCAATACTTGAAGGGAGCTTATAAACAGGAGGAGGAATGGCTGTTCATGAAGGTGGATAGTGATATGACAAGGGGAGATGGTTTTAAACTGAGGGAGGAGAGATTTAGGTTAGATATTAGGAGGAAGTTTTTCACTCAGAGGGTAGTAACACACAGGAACAGGTTGCCCAAGGAAGTTGTGGATGCCCCATCCCTGGAGGCATTCAAGGCCAGGCTGGATGTGTCTCTGGGCAGCCTGTTCCGCTGGTTGGCGACCCTGCCCATGGCAGGGGGTTTAAAACAAGATGATCACTGTGGTCCTTTTCAACCCAGGCCATCCTATGATTCTATGACTCTATGCTGTAGAAGGCAGGAAATGGGAATTGGGTATCATAGCCATACTCTAATTCTTGAGTCTATGATATTCCATGGGTAGAAGCAATGCAAAGTTAGTGTTGTGGTAACACTATTTGTCAATTTTTCAAACATGGAGCTCGAATTGAGATATTTGTTAGGTTAATGTGGTTATCTAACAAATTGATTGGTTGGTTGGTGGGTTTTTTTCAGGTTGAGCAAAAAACAGAAACTTTCTAGGAAAGTGAACTTATCTAGTTTTAGTGTTGTAAATATTAACATCTACCCACAGTTTGGCATCTGAATTCGTAATTGTTGGCTTTACTCTTGTAAAACCAGCCAGAAAATTGTTTTCTGTTGCTCCTGCTTCTTGTTATGAAAATACATTTCCAACAATTTTTTAAAAGTCATTTCCTCTCCACATTCTCTTTTGTAATCACATCTGCAAGAAAAATGTGAGTTAGGAACATTAATCATTTGGGAGTCTTGTATCTAAGTCTTTGAAGACAAAGTGCTGCTTCTGCTGACTGTAGACTTTTTTGCCCAGAGTGGTTTCCTCTTTCCATCTAAATCAAAAAATCCCGTACTGCTGTTCTCCCAAATCAAGCAGAGGGGAGTGAGAACCCTAAAGGGATAAATAGCTGTTTTTTGTATGATGTCACTGCCATAAAAAAGCAGGCCAGTAACAAAATCTTAAAGACTTTGAGAATCATTGTTAAAGCAATATAAATGAAAAACAAAGCCAAATTTTCCACCTGCTCAAAGCTGGAGCAAAAACCCCACATCACTTAAAAAAAACCACACCAATCGGATTCCATCCAGATTCTGCAGTTTGGCTTCTAAGCTGCAACAACCTACACATCGCTCACTGCAAGAAATGCATCAAATGGTAAGTTTTATTAGCAGCGTTTGCTCATCCCCCCAGTTTCTGTGAAGAATATGCAACTTATGTGCAAAACTGGCTGGTGGGCGAAGGCTTGTCTACTGAAAAGCACAGAAGAGGTTACCTGTGAAATATTGGTGTCTGCTTCTAGGAATGGTCATTTTCCAGTTAGCCAATGACACACAGCGTAAGTGAAAAGTTTAAGCAGCTTCTCTGTCGTTGCTCATCAGAGATGGATATTTCACTCAATGCACACGAAGTAAGTAGACTAACATAAATGCAGTGCATTCCTGCATCTTTTGCTTTTCATTCTTCTAGCCATCTCTGGGCATTTGTTGTCACCATCATCCATCTGGTAGAGAGAAGACTCTCCATCAGGTAAGAGTTATCTTTTCCTATCAGGAGCAGCATGGATTCTTGTTCTTTGCAGATGGTTTGGTGTAAGTGTCAGTATTACTGCACATAAATAATTTTATTGGCGCATAAATCAATAGTACTACAGATTTAAAAGGAAACCTGTATTGGTAAGCAGCTTTGCCATGTGGCTGCCATTATACCCAATTAATGGCATTTAATAGAGTCCACTTAATCTTTTGCAGTCTTTTTTTTTAGAAAACCTGGTAGTTATCCATATTAGAGATGAGGCATTGAAGCACATGTGAGATTTATCTGTCCTGAGGATCTTCTCATTTTCCCTGCTGTCCACATGCAGGCTCAGCCCCAGCCCTGGGCAGGGATCTACTGGTGCTCCAGCAGGGATGTGTCATGCAGGGGTGGGAGCAGCTCAGCTGGATTCCCTCTTCTGTTGGCTTTCTGGTACGGGGGCAGTTGGGTTGTGGCCTGGTGAGTATGCCTGTTGGGAGTGGTTTGATACTGAAACACCACACTGAAATAATAGTGTGGTTAGGAGAACAGACTTTTCATTGCACTCCTAAACCAGGAGCGTGGTGCCTGGAAGTAGAGCAATGATGTTGGTTTATGTGAATTGCCTTCAGTTATGCAAGAATACTGTGGAAAAGCTAAGAATTAAGCACCCTTGCTGAAGGGCTCCTCCTACATCTCCTCACTATTCTTCCTCCCATGTAACTTTCTACCTTGGCATGACTAATGCTTCAAATTAATGTGTACTAACCTCTAGCATTTTAGTATAATAACATAAAAATTTGTCTTCATGCAGAATTTAATTTTTGTACTCGCTTGTCATGTTCCAAGCAGCAGGGAAGGGTCAAGGAACAGGTGTGGGTGTCTGGGAGCTCTGTACCTGCAGCTCTCCATTTGGTCACAGCCAACAAGTGCCTTTTCACACGCTCACGCAGTCGCTGCGAGCTCATTGGGGCTCTAAAGCAACAGACTTAACTCTGCCCAGCTGTGTGCTGCGAGGGTCGCTGCCCCACCCCGTCGCCCAATTGCACACGTGCTGTTTGCTGGGCCATCTCGCTCTGATGGCCTCTGAACGCTCGCTGCATCTGCGGCTGGTGCCTTTCACGGGGTGGCAACAACTTCAAAGCTGCCGTGCGTGGCTTTGCACTTGCTGCAGTTATGCAGAAACCTGCGCGTCAGATGACCCGCGTTAAGCCGAAGAGCACGTTACGGGCGTTGTGCTAACAGCACGGAGACGCCAACCCGAGGCTGGCAGCCTGACCCGGCTCCGTGCTTGAAGAGGGCAGGGCTGCGGCGCTGGAATTCAGCTTTCGTTAGGCCGTTCCCTAACCTTCAAAGCGGGATTTTCGGAGGAAGGGCCGCTGGAGAAGACAGGATGAGCCCTATCTGATCCTTATCGGGAGCGGACGAAAGCCATGCGCTGCTTTTTCCTTTTGCCGCGTGCACTTAGCTGGGCTCGTGTAGAGGACGCACGTCGACGGCAACGGGCGCGCCGTCAGTCCCGCGCCGCCGCCCCGTCACCTGCAGGCCGCGGCAGCCCCTGCGGAGCGGCGGCTCCCCGACTGCGGCCTGCAGCACCGGGGCCGCGTGGGCTCCTCGTGAAGCCCCGAGTGAACCCGCGGGTCTCTCCGTGCGTTTGCCCGGCGCTGCTGCCCCCGCCCAAAGAAGCCTCGCTGTGTTTATGGGGTGATCTGTCTGCCCGTGGCAGACTACAGCTGCGGCGTCCCCGAGCGCCGCCCTCCCCGCCGGCCGTGAGCCTGCTTCGGACACGAGGGCGACGTGACGCGCACGGCAGCGGCTCTTTGCGGTTCCACGGTGCTAAAGGTACTTCGTTTTTGTATTAAGGGCAAAATGGAGGTAGCGGAGGCTCCGGGAACGAGCGGCCGGCGCCGTGCCCGCTGCGGGCCCCGCGGGCCGGCGGTGCGGCGCTAGGTGGCGCGCACGGAGCGGCGCTGAGGGGCCGCCGCCCCCCCGCACGGCCGCCCCCCGCACAGCGCCCCGCGGGGCAGCCGCGGGCGGCGCTTTGGCGTGCTGCGCTCAGGTTTCCGCCTTGTTTTACGCAGAAGCTTCTGGAGCCTTTCTGTGGCCGGCTTTAGCGGTACGTTGAGCCCAGTCACCTTACTAAAACGAAGGGCCGCTTTAAGTAACCGCCCCGGTGTTGTATTTATATGAATGAAGAATTAACCTTAAGAGGTTGCCCTTCTCAGAAAATGGATTGCGCGCTCTGCTCTCCCTATTGATTAGTTTGGGTATTTAAAGTGCTGTGCTTTATCTCCCAGCTGCGCGGTGAGTTTGTCACGATGATGCTTGAAGGAGCACGTTGACACTGTTTATTTTCCCAAAGCGTTTCGGCTTAGCTCTCGGCCTCTCTCTGCTCCTTTGAGCTGTGTGGTGTTGTGTGAAGGAGCAGTGATAACCCTTCTGCGTAAATAAGCGTGGGGTGGAACGTCTCTGTTGGGCAGAAGCACGAGGGCAGGGATGCTGCGCTGCAGACGTGCATTACATTGCAGCTGGCACAGCGAGGCTGGCGGTCATGAAGGGCTTTTCAGGAGTCTTCCCATGTGAAAGGACAGCGGGAGGCTTGTCAGGAGCTCTGCTCTCTCCAAGAGTTCATTTCTTCTTGGAGCTGCAGATAATGGGGCTGTCCCGTTAGCTGCAGTGCGCTTCTGGGCTGCTCGGTGTCAGGGCTGGGGATGGCGGGCCTGTGCCAGGAGCAGGAGGTGCGATGCCCTGCCATGGCCAGGCCCCACGAGAAGCACCAGCCCATGCCGGGCTCCTGCTAACCCGGTTCGTGCTCACGGTGGGCACCAGCTCCACCAAGGCGGCTGTTTCCACCACTGTCAGGCTGTAACCCTCCCTCCGCTTCCCGCTCTAGTTTCTCAAGTTTACAGATTTGCTTTTGGTCTCTGAACGGGTGCCCACCGCCCCCTTCCTAACCTGATATCCTGCTCGGTGGTGGGAACATGCATGCTGCTTAAAATCCCCAAACAAAATGGAAAGGCTTTGGTTTAGTTGAAAAGGACGTTGAATTCTGCTCGCGATCTGTAATGCAATTAGTGTTATTTGACTTGGCAGCCTTCGGAGGGCCTGCGTGGGCTGCAGGCTGTGCGGGCCTGGAGACGGCCTCGCTCTAAGCAGCAGAGCTGGGGGGAACTCAGGGTAATTCACATTCCCAGTCCCTCAGTGCGTTCTCTCCCATCTCCTCTTCTGTCCGCCCTTAGTGCTGAGAGACTGCAGCCCAACCCCAGCCCCTGGCTGCCTCTGCTCGGCGCTGCCCCACCGGCAGGAAAACAGCCCTGGGTCAGAACCCACATCTGTGTTTCTGGGGCTAAATCATTCCTTGTAAGGGAAACAGCGTTTGACTGGTGTATCTGGCTTGCTAATTGCTTTAACCAGCTGCAAAGATTTCAGTCTGTTCTTGAGCTGTCTGTGCAAACTTGCAGCATAGCCCGATTTTCAGATCCTGCCCTGCCCACAACCAGAACGTATAAACAAGTCCTGTTGTAGGAAAACAGCACCAAGTTCTGAGTTATGCTTGCAGAGGTTATGAGAGACAGGAAGTTATGGGCAAATTGATTTTGGCGCTGGAAAACCAGGGATTTCCCCCCCTTCTCCCAAGTAATGACTGTAAAGCATGCTAATGCTATTCAACGTTAGTGCATTAAAGAGTGGCCTTATTAATTCAAGACATAAAGGCAACAAAATAAGCTGTTAAATTTAAAATATAATGCACACATAATGAGAAAAAATGTGTGAAAGCTTTATTCGAATGAAAATGCAGAATTGTTTGAGCTGGTGAAGTATCTTTTGTACTGAGTTATGAGCATATGTAATAGATTTAATTATTAATTTCTCCATTGTTCTATGCACACAGACAGGGTTCAAGGCACAGTCATTCTCGGGCTTTCATAGATCTAATTTGTATAATTATTGCCTGAATAAAAGATTGCTCCAATTCCTAGCTCGCTCCTTCACTCTGAAGCGCTGCCTCGATGCTGCTCTCCAAAAGGAGAGCACCTGCCAGTTCTTTGGGAATCAGCTGATCCTCCCCATGATGAGGCACGTTCTCGCTGACGCTCCTTTTTGAGCCTTTTTTGTCTAAATGAATTATCGTGCATCCTTTTTAATTTTATTGAACAAATTACATTTGTCAAAGTCTAGCTTTGTAAATAAATAGCTAGAGACACACGGATGCATATTGCTGCTGTTCAAGGTCTCTTGTTCTATTTATGGAAGCCAGATGAATGTGAAACAAAAGAGAAACTTTTCTCTAAAAGCAATTATCTTTCTGCATTCCCATCAGTATAATTATATTGCTGAGAATTTTAAAAAGTCATACAAGTAGAATTGAATACTTAAAATCGTGGCTGAGTCATTATGCAAAAGCTGAGCAGAGCGCCTTGCCTCATGCTAACAAAGCACACCGGGACTGGCTGCTCTCTTACACCTTCATACCTGCAACATGAGGATAAGTCCTGAATTTCTGTCAGTTTTGAAGTGCTGCTATTAGTGGGTTGAAATTCATTCTCTCAGACATTTTGAGACTTGAGGCCCTGTTATGTGAGTGTCTTTAATTGTGAGTATTTTATTTAACTTTGGAGTCATGTTGTATCACTGAAAGAGACAAGCATTGTTTATGGGAAGGTTTTTCTGTGTAGTGAAATGAACAAGATGTGGTACAGTCCAGTTGCATCTGTAAGGAAGTGCAGTAAAAGTCGTTGTGTTGGCCGGTGTCGTTTGGACACCAACTGTGAGGACATTTTAGGAAACAGCAGTATCTACATGATTTGTCGAAAGTGCCATCAGTTTCGGAAGGAAGTAGAGAGATTGCCAAGAGAGATAATTTTCTGTCCATTGTCCCATCAAACATTGTGAGCTTCTATTGGAAGAATACTTGGGGAGGTGCTGTCAACAACCAAGAGACAAGGTGTGGAGATGTTGTGTGGGTGTTCTACGCTGCAGTCAGAGCAGCAGAAGCTGCAGGGGTTCTGCCTGAGAGGAGGAAGACCAGCTTGGTCCAAATTCAAGGAAGCAGAGCTCCTGCAGCAGAATCTCAGCTGCTGCTCCATCACAGTTGGTGTGAGCTGCTGCCTCGTTTTACAGAGAGCTGCTGTGGAAAGGTGAGAGCATGGTTGTGCCATTAAAGGCTGTTAGACAATACTTTTAAGAGGAAGCCAAAGAAGTGGCACAGAATAAGCATAGGTTTCCAGATCTAAATTTGCAGCCATTATGTTAAAGTGTGTATTTGTATTTAATATGAGAAGTTAGTTGGATCCTTCTAGTATCCAGCATTGCTTTTTACCTGTAGTTTTGCCCCTTTTTCCCTCTCCCAGCCTGTCTTGGATTAAGCAGGACTGTGTAATTCAAACATTTGAAACCCAGCTATGGAGAGATGAGGTATTCAGCCCAGCTTGGCACATAGCTCTGGCAAGTCAGGAAACAGTCGTAAGTCCCCATACTGCTGCAGACGGCTGCACAGAGCTGTGTGCTGAGCTGTGCCCATCCCATGAGGGAGCAGCTCCATGCTGCACACCAGCATCAGCTGCAGCCCGGTGTTTTCTTTTCTGTGAAAGCCATTTTGACTGCCATCTGTTTGCATTTATTTCCTTTCCGGCTTCATACATGACTCATCTGCAACAGGACAGAGGAGCAAGGGCAGAGCTGGGCTGCTGAGGAGCTCCTTTCCCTGCTTCCTAGCCCAGGTTTGGGCAGCTTTCTGCAAAGCTTTCCCTTGGCAAGGAGCCATGTGCTGGGCTGCAGGATTTAACCTCTGGGTGCCCATCATCTGAGCTCAGTGTCACCTGACAGAGCAGGTATGCCAGGGCTGTCCCCTTCCAGTGCCATAAGATAGAGACAAAACACTTCTCTGTCTGTAAACTGATAAGAAGATGCAGGAAACCATACTTAATTCTGGCTTTGAGCTCTGCTGTTCCCTGCAGGTTACCCTCAAAAAGTACAGCCACAGATCTGCTTCTCTTAGGTTTTAGTTCAATCCAAACCTAATCTTTTCTTCTTTCTCCAGAAGCCCCATTGGCGCCAGCATTTTCTTGTGTTCGCCATGGGTAGGGGTTGCAGTAAGTGGTTTCCTCTTGCTTCCCTCTGGGATGCTGTGCCCGGGCAAGAGATTTACTTCCATCTGAGGGTCTGCCTCGGGACTTCATGGGGGCTGTGTCTGAACCATAATGGTATTTTAAGGGACTTTTGCTTTTTAGTAAATTACCCTCCAATAATCTGCAAATCTGGTACCAATCAGAATATGATACGTATCCTCAGCTAGTTCCAGTGGGGCTTATTTCTATTACATCTGGCAGTGTGTCCAATGGGAGAGAAAAAGCCTCAACCAGAACTAGCTGCACTGAAAGCAACTGAATTTTGGATATATTCAGCCTTTTTGGCCAGACTCATTCCGGTTCATGAGAAGTAATTATCTCTTGAGCATCACATTAATATTAAAGATCCATAGGCATTAGTGTTTAGGCAATATACCTTCTTCTCAGCTCCAAAAAAAAGATGTGGGATAATTGATCTGAACATGCTCCAAATGTGCATATGTCTTTATTTATGAATTCCAATGTGGATTGTTTGGGAGGAAAAGAAAGAATAAGGAAAAGCAGGCAGAAATGTCGATACTTCTCATCTCCCTGGCCATTTATGTGAAGAATGGTTATAATCCCCTGAAAATGAGTTGTGAAAGCTAACAGCGTGTTAATAACATGTGTTACAAACACAAGATCCCTTTAGTTGGTATTTCGTATTTATACCTTTTCCTCTTTCTTAGATGAGGAGCTCCTGTTGGAGCGCCTGCCGCTGGTTGTGGGCAGGAT